GTGCTCTGCTCCCACATAATGTGCCCTACCTCCATATAATGTGCCCTGCTCCCACATAATGTGCCTTGCCCTCATGCAATGTGCCCTGGTCCCACATGATGTGCCCTGCTTCCATGTAATGTTCCCTCCTGAGCCCTTGTACCCTCCCTGCTGCCCCCCCCACACACTCTGTATTTCCCAAGTATGACCTAGAATGGAGCATCTCTGCAGAAAAAGAAAGCACATGTTTCACACTAAATAGGTAAGTTTTAATATTTATTTAATGCTATTTCTAAAAATAATTGTTATTATCAACAGCTCGCTGATCATACCAGTGTTCCATGAGCTGTAGATTCAAACATTATTTCAGGAGTTCCCTGAAATTCCAAAAGTTTTGCCAGGGGTGTAGCAAACTAGCTCCTCAGAGCTGAAAGCGGAGTTCTCCTTCAACCTTTGCTTTTGTAACAAACTAGCTCATCAGAGCTGGAAGCGGAGTTCCCCTGTTCCTTGCTGTATTTGAGGTCTTCCTCGAATCATTCCTCACACCCCACCCCCCCTTGCATTCCTGTGAGGCAGACTTTATCTCCTGGCAGATGATGTGGAACAACCATGAGAAGTGGAGCCAGCCCGTCTGCGGAGGTGTCACTTTGGTCACCCAAAGCTATGTAAGCCCCACACCTTATCAACCTGACCCAGAACTGAACATTCTTCAGGTCAACTGTATGGTTCATATCACGGGATATGAAGCTGGTAATTTAGTGTAGAGTTTCCCAATGACCACTCCCAAGTCAGAGCCCCCCCCTCCCCTTTGAGAGGGACCTTTAAGAGAGTTAAGTGAGTTAGTCTGAAACACACACAGAGATCTCCGAGGTAACATCGTAACACCTTAGTCCGACCCGAGGTGATAGAGGACACAGACATCATCCCCGAGAAGTTCCTGACCCTCACCGGAGTGGGGGGAACCCGTTCCCGCATACCCCAGGCATATGTGTTCATCGACTGGGGTGCAGGGAGGGGGATGAGGCAGGTAGGAGTCTCTGATGAAATTCCCACAGCTGTCCTATTGGGGGCCGATCTGGGCACCCTTATCGCCTATTATGCCCCTGCTAAGGACTCTCCGGATGCCCCCCTGGAACTCTCGGGACCTACCAAGGTGCAGTGGGCAGATATTGAGCTAATGTCTGGGCAGCCTGTGGATGGACAGAGGGAGGGGGCTGGGAAGGAGCTGGGTGGCAAGATTCTCCATTAGCTGGAGAGGGAGAAGAAATCCCCTTGTTGGGGGGGGTAACGAACTCAGGTGAAATGGACAGTAGACAAGTAACTGTTGATAATTATGAGGACAATGATGTTGCAAATGCCTGTAATGTTGATGTCAATGTCGGTAATATCATTAGTAATGTCATTAATAAGGTCAGTAATGTTGATGGTTCTGATGATACTAATGAGGCATCCCTCACCTTAGTGGTCACCCGCAGTGCAGCCAGGGTAGCTGAGGCACAGACTCTGGTCTCAGAACAGCAGGAGGACGTCCCTGACCCCTCCCCTTGTTCTGACCCAGTGGACTCTGCCTCCAGGGAGTCTCAGCAGCTGTCATTATTTGCTACAGGACCACTGGCTGGGACCTATAGTTCCACATTTGAGACTGCCTTACTGACAGACCAGACCCTGGAGCAGCTCAGGAATCTGGCTAATGGCCCCCCTGCTGAGAATGCTAAACAAAAGGTCTACTGGGAGCAAGGCAGACTATATAGGGAGGGGCTGCCCACTGAGGGAAGGGGGGCTGACATTGGTAGACGACAGCTTGTCGTGCCTCATCCCTGTCGGGGACAGCTGCTGAAGGTGGCTCATGAGATTCCTCTGGCCGGGCACCTGGGAATCACTAAGATGCGAGCCGGATTGATCCATAAATTCTTTTGGCCCACTATGTTAGCAGACATAGCGGATTACTGTCGGTCCTGTGGTACCTGTCAGCGAGTTGGCAAGGCAGGAGAGGTGCACAGGGCCCCATTACAACCTTTGCCTGTGATTGACGAGCCTTTTAAGAGGGTGGCAGTAGACATCGTGGGGCCTCTAGCCATCCCTAGCAGCTCAGGCAAACATAATATCTTGACAGTGGTCGACTATGCCACCCGGTATCCGGAAGCTGTGGCTCTCTCCTCCCTCCGGGCGGACAAGGTTGCGGATGCTCTGCTGGGAATCTTCACCAGAGTGGGATTTCCGGCCGAGCTTATTAGTGATCAAGGGCCCCAGTTTGTGTCCGACCTAATGCAAGCTCTCTGTCAGAAGATACAGATAACGCATATCATGGCCAGCCCTTACCATCCACAAACGAATGGCTTGTGCGAACGTTTCAATGGCACATTGAAACAAATGTTGCGCACCTTTGTGGAGTCCCAGGGCAAGGACTGGGAACGATATTTGCCTCATCTGTTATTCGCTTACAGAGAGGTGCCTCAGGAGTCCACCGGGTTTTCGCCCTTTGAACTTCTGTACGGGCGGAGGGTGAGAGGGCCTCTGGACCTAATCCGGGAGACCTGGGAGGGCAAGATTGCGGACCCGGAGGTCTCCGTGGTGGATTACGTGCTCAGGTTCCGGGATAAAATGGAGATGCTGGTGGGGTTGGTACGAGAAAACATAGCCCAGGCCCAGACCAGGCAGAAACGTTGGTATGACCGTAATGCCAGGGAGCGGACATACAACGTTGGGCAGCAGGTGTATGTTCTGCTACCCTTGCGGCAGAACAAACTGCAGGCTGCCTGGGAAGGCCCGTACCCTATCACCCAGCGCCTGAACAATGTGACCTATCTGGTTAGGTTAGGCGAAGGAAGCAGACGGCAGAAGGCCTTCCATGTTATTATGATCAAGGCTCACCACGAAGGTACGGCCTACGTCATGCCAGTCTGCAGCCAACAGGAGACCGAGGAGGCTGACCCCCTCCTGGACCTACTCGCAGACACTAGGGAAGGGGAGTCAGCCCTCCCGATCAACCCCCTCCTTACCCCCACCCAGGTACCTGGGCTGAAGAGAGTGCTGGCAGTACATGGGGGTAGGTTTACTGGGAAGCCTGGGAGAACCCATCTTGCTACCCACAAAGTAGACACAGGGGCCCATCCTCCTATTAGACAATCCGCCTATCGCGTCTCGTTAGAGGTGCTGGCAGATATGAAAAGGGAGGTGGAGGAAATGCTGCAGTTGGGGGTGATTCAGAAGTCTCACAGCAGCGCCTGGGCGTCCCCTGTAGTCCTGGTCCCCAAAAAGGACCGGGCGAGCAGGTTCTGTGTGGACTATCGGAAGCTGAACGCCATCACCACTGCAGACGCCTACCCCATGCCCCGGATCGATGAATTGTTGGATAGACTGGCGGCGGCCCGCTATCTCACAATCATGGATCTGAGCAGGGGGTACTGGCAAATTCCTCTAGCGCCCGAGGCCCGGGAAAAGTCAGCCTTCATCACCCCATTCGGCTTGTTCGAATTCACGGTCATGCCCTTTGGGATGAAGAATGCCCCAGCCACCTTCCAGAGGGTCATGAACGACCTGTTGGAGGGGCTGGAACAGTGCGCAGTAGCCTACCTGGACAACATCGCCGTGTTCAGTCCCACCTGGGAAGAACATCTGGTGCATCTGTCACAAGTTGTGGACAGACTGTGTCAGGGCTCCAGGGTATGACCAGAAGTGTGTGACTGCCGCAGGGAAACGCAGACTTCAGATATGTTATAAATAAGGCAATTTATTAAAGACTAACAATACAAACATAAACGCAGTGCAATACTAAAACATAACACAGTGCAAACGAACCAAACCAAACCACCCACAGATAACAGTACATACAATGCAAGCGTCGTCAGGCAGGCCGGGTCAATAACAATCGGGCAGGTAGGTACAGGGGGTCAGGCAGAGAATGGTCGGGGTCACAAGCCAGGGATGAAACAGGAGAAGTCAGCAGAGGTCCGGATCAGGCAGGGTCAGCAACGAATCAGTCAGACAGGGACAGGGATGCAGGAACAAGATACAGGACCCAGGAAAAACACACACACACCAAGGCCCAGACTGCAGGTCTGGCCATCACTTAAATACACCTGCATAAGCAGTTTCAGGTGTTTGGCTGGCTGCAGGGTTGAGTCTCTGATTGCTGGGAGCACCCGCTGGCCAGCCCTGGTACTGCAGCCCACAAGGCAGGTGAGACCCACCACTACTGGCAAGTCCATTCCTGACAGTACCCCCCCCCCTCAAGGACGCTCCAAACAGTCCTAGCTGGGCAAAATGTTCCACCGCCTGGGTCTGGTAACTGGCGGGATATCAAAGACTGGCACATCGGGCTGGACTCCGGGCAGCGGCACATCGGGCTGGACTCCGGGCAGCGGCACATCGGGCTGGACTCCGGGCAGCGGCACATCGGGCTGGACTCCGGGCAGCGGCACATCGGGCTGGACTCCGGGCAGAGGCACATCGGGCTGGACTCCGGGCAGAGGCACATCGGGTTGGACTCCGGGCAGAGGCACATCGGGCTGGACTCCGGGCAGAGGCACATCGGGCTGGACTCCGGGCAGAGGCACATCGGGCAGGACTCCGGGCAGAGGCACATCGGGCAGGACTCCGGGCAGCGGCAGCGACAGGCACCGAGTCACCAGGCACGACAGTGGGCTCCGAGTCAACTGGCATGACCGCTGGCACTGGGTCAGACATTGGATCGTCTGGCTGGACAGCGGGCATCGGGTCACCAGGCATCAGGTCATTTGGCTCGACAGCGGGCACCGCGTCATCTGGCAAGGCAGTGGGCACCAAGTCACCAGGCACGACAGTGGGCTCTGAGTCAATTGGCACGACAGCGGGCACCAGGTCATCAGGTACCGGATCATCTGGCTCGACAGCAGGCACCGGGTCATCTGGCGCTGGATCGTCTGGCTCGACAGCGGGCATCGGATCACCAGGCATGACCGCGGGCACTGGGTCATCAGGCATTGGATTGTCTGGCTCGACAGCGGGCATCGGGTCACCAGGTATGACAGCGGGCACTGGGTCACCAGGCATCAGGTCATTTGGCTCGCCAGCAGGCAGCAGGCCACCAGGCGGAGCAGCAGGCACCGGGCCACCAGGTGGAGCAGCAGGCACCGGGCCACCAGGCGGAGCAGCAGGCACCGGGCCACCAGGCGGAGCAGCAGGCACCGGGCCACCAGGCGGAGCGACAGGCATCGGGCAACCAGGCGGGGCGACAGGCATCGGGCCACCAGGCGGGGCGACAGGCATCGGGCCACCAGGCGGGGCGACAGGCATCGGGCCACCAGGCGGGGCGACAGGCGCTGGGCCCCCAGGCGGGGCGACAGGCGTCGGGCCCCCAGGCGGGGCGACAGGCATCGGGCTCCCAGGCGGAGCGGCGGGCGCCGGACCCCCAGGCGGAGCGACAGGTCTCGGGCCCCCAGGCGGAGCGGTGGGCGCAGGACCCCCAGGCGGAGCGACAGGTCTCGGGCCCCCAGGCGGAGTGGCGAGCGCCAGACCCCCAGGCGGAGCGACAGGTCTCGGGCCCCCAGGTGGAGCGGCGGGCGCCGGACCCCCAGGCGGAGAGCGACAGGCATCGGGCCCCCAGGTGGGGCGACAGGCATTGGGCCCCCAGGCGGGGCGACAGGCATCGGCCCCCAGGCGGAGCAGCGGGCGCCGGACCCCCAGGCGGAGCGACAGGTCTCGGGCCCCCAGGCGGAGCGGCGGGCGCCGGACCCCCAGGCGGAGCGACAGGTCTCGGGCCCCCAGGCGGAGCGGCGGGCGCAGGACCCCAAGGCGGAGCGACAGGTCTCGGGCCCCCAGGCAGAGCGGCGGGCGCAGGACCCCCAGGCGGAGCGACAGGTCTCGGGCCCTCAGGCGAGGCGGGCGCAGGACCCCCAGGCGGAGCGACAGGTCTCGGGCCCCCAGGCAGAGCGACAGGCACCGAGTCACCAGGCACGACAGTGGGCTCCGAGTCAACTGGCATGACCGCTGGCACTGGGTCAGACATTGGATCGTCTGGCTGGACAGCGGGCATCGGGTCACCAGGCATCAGGTCATTAGGCTCGACAGCGGGCACCGCGTCATCTGGCAAGGCAGTGGGCACCAAGTCACCAGGCACGACAGTGGGCTCTGAGTCAATTGGCACGACAGCGGGCACCGGGTCATCAGGTACCGGATCGTCTGGCTCGACAGCAGGCACCGGGTCATCTGGCGCTGGATCGTCTGGCTCGACAGCGGGCATCGGATCACCAGGCATGACCGCGGGCACTGGGTCATCAGGCATTGGATTGTCTGGCTCGATAGCGGGCATCGGGTCACCAGGTATGACAGCGGGCACTGGGTCACCAGGCATCAGGTCATTTGGCTCGCCAGCGGGCACCGCGTCATCTGGCAAGGCAGTGGGCACCGAGTCACCAGGCATGACAGTGGGCTCTGAGTCAATTGGCACGACAGCGGGCACCGGGTCATCAGGTACTGGATCGTCTGGCTCGACAGCAGGCACCGGGTCATCTGGCGCTGGATCGTCTGGCTCAACAGCGGGCATCAGGTCACCAGGCATGACAGCGGGCACTGGGTCATCAGGCATTGGATCGTCTGGCTCGACAGCGGGCATCGGGTCCTCAGGTACCGGATCGTCTGGATCGACAGCGGGCACCGGGTCATCTGGAGTTGGATAGTCTGGCTCGACAGCGGGCATCGGGTCACCAGGCATGACAGCAGGCACTGGGTCATCAGGTACCGGATCGTCTGGATCGACAGCGGACACCGGGTCATCTGGCGCTGGATCGTCTGGCTTGACAGCGGGCATCGGGTCACCAGGCATGATAGCGGGCACTGGGTCATCAGGCATTGGATCGTCTGGCTCGACAGCGGGCATCGGGTCACCAGGTATGACAGCGGGCACTGGGTCAGACATTGGATCGTCTGGCCCGACAGCGGGCATCGGGTCACCAGGTATGACAGCGGGCACTGGGTCACCAGGCATCAGGTCATTTGGCTCGCCAGCGGGCACCACGTCATCTGGCAAGGCAGTGGGCACCGAGTCACCAGGCACGACAGTGGGCTCCGAGTCAACTGGCATGACCGCGGGCACTGGGTCAGACATTGGATCAACTGGCTTGACAGCGGGCATCGGGTCACCAGGTATGACCGCGGGCACTGGGTCATCAGGCATTGGATCGTCTGGCTCGACAGCGGGCATCGGGTCACCAGGCATGACAGTGGGCACCGGGTCATCAGGTACCGGATCGTCTGGCTCGACAGCGGGCACTGGGTCATCAGGCGTGATAGGATCATCAGGCTGGATCAGTTCATCAGGCTGGGTACAGACATCAGGCTGGGTACAGGCATCAGGCTGGGTACAGGCATCAGGCTGGGTACAGGCATCAGGCTGAAGTGCGGGTGCCGAGGCACCAGGCTGAACCACGGAAGGCAGGTTCTCAGACGGCAGGCTCACCGGTTTGGATACTGGCAGGATGGTACTGGTTGGAAAGAATTTCCGCTTTTTTTCTGGTTTTAACTACTGGGGCACTGCAAGTAAACGCAGGTCTGCAAACGAATGGAGCAGCTGCTGACAGAGAAGAGCTGGAAGATGGAACAGAGGAGGGAGCAGTTGCTACAGAGGACTTCTTTACAGGGTTAAAGAAAGGATAGGTGCAGCGAGTGGGAGCAGAGGACTGGTATGTGGTAGTTAGAGTATACTGGGCAGTCACTGGGGGTGCTGTCGGGGATGCAGGAAGAATGCCTTGAGTGGAGGAATGATGTTGTAAGCTGACTGAGGCTGGGTGCAACAAGTCTGACCATGTCTGCAGTATGGGTTGAACAAAGCTCAGTTTACACAAAGCCTGTCTGGTCAATGACTGCACTGCGTTTATACAATCTCTTAGTACCTGTGGTGAACATGCAGAGTAACGCTCCAGAAAGTAATCCACATCATCCTCTAATAACCATACCAGGGACTCTACCTGGTCGGCACTACATGGCGGCAAAAATTCATCCCTGCATTCGGGGGTACCAGATGAAACCAACTCAGCACAAACCTGAATCAATGGCTGCACCTCAGAGAACTCTGTGCCCTGATCTACTAGGCAATGAGCGATCCGTATACACTCTAGCAGTTCATCCCTGGGATACTCCTTCAGAGTTTGATAAGCATACTCTCTGTCATCAAACACTAGCAGAGATAAATACACAACTTCATCAAGATCCATCCTTCCCAGCAACAAGCCAAGATGGCTTCCCTGTGCAGCCACTTCTGGTCAGGATTGGCCTTGGTGTAATGTCAGGGCTCCAGGGTATGACCAGAGGTGTGTGACTGACGCAGGGAAACGCAGACTTCAGATATGTTATAAATAAGGCAATTTATTAAAGACTAACAATACAAACATAAACGCAGTGCAATACTAAAACATAACACAGTGCAAACGAACCAAACCAAACCACCCACAGATAACAGTACATACAATGCAAGCGTCGTCAGGCAGGCCGGGTCAATAACAATCGGGCAGGTAGGTACAGGGGGTCAGGCAGAGAATGGTCGGGGTCACAAGCCTGGGATGAAACAGGAGAAGTCAGCAGAGGTCCGGATCAGGCAGGGTCAGCAACGAATCAGTCAGACAGGGACAGGGACAGGGACAGGAACAGGGATGCAGGAACAAGATACAGGGCCCAGGAAAAACACACACACCAAGGCCCAGACTGCAGGTCTGGCCATCACTTAAATACACCTGCATAAGCAGTTTCAGGTGTTTGGCTGGCTGCAGGGTTGAGTCTCTGATTGCTGGGAGCACCCACTGGCCAGCCCTGGTACTGCAGCCCACAAGGCAGGTGAGACCCACCACTACTGGCAAGTCCATTCCTGACAGACTGACAGCCGCCAATCTGACAGTCAAACCCAGCAAGTGTCAGATAGGCATGACAGATGTCCAGTATTTGGGACACCAGGTAGGAGGAGGCACCCTGAGGCCTGAAACAGGGAAGGTGGAGGCCATCCTGGCCTGGCCTACCCCACAAACCAAGAAGCAGGTCATGTCATTCCTGGGGACAGCTGGCTACTATCGGAAGTTTGTAGGTAACTATAGTAGCCTGGCGAAACCCTTGACTGACCTGACCAAGAAGAAACTGCCCAAGGCGGTGTCGTGGACACCCGAGTGTGAGAAGGCCTTCCAGGCCTTGAAGGAGGCGCTGGCCAGCGCTCCTGTGCTACAGGCTCCAGACTTCACCCGTCGTTTCCTAGTGCAGACAGATGCCTCTGCATATGGATTGGGTGCCGTCCTGAGCCAGGTTGATGGTTCAGGAGAAGAACATCCCATCCTCTACCTGAGCCGGAAGCTGCTCCCGAGGGAGGTAGCATACGCCACGATCAAGAAAGAGTGCCTGGCGATCGTGTGGGCGCTCCAGAAACTACAAATGTACCTGTATGGGCGGCACTTCACTGTGATCACTGATCACAATCCCCTGAGCTGGCTAAATCGTGTGGCTGGGGAGAATGGCAAACTACTCGGAGGAGCCTAACTCTCCAGCAATAAGATTTCACCATACAGCATAAGAAGCCAGCAGAAGTCGGTTGCGTCAGGAGAGAACTTGTAGCTCACTCCTTGGCAACCACTAAAGAGGGAGGTGTAGCAAACTAGCTCCTCAGAGCTGGAAGCGGAGTTCTCCTTCAACCTTTGCTTTTGTAACAAACTAGCTCATCAGAGCTGGAAGCGGAGTTCCCCTGTTCCTTGCTGTATTTGAGGTCTTCCTCGAATCATTCCTCACATCCCCCCCCCTTGCATTCCTGTGAGGCAGACTTTATCTCCTGGCAGATGATGTGGAACAACCATGAGAAGTGGAGCCAGCCCGTCTGCGGAGGTGTCACTTTGGTCAACCAAAGCTATGTAAGCCCCACACCTTATCAACCTGACCCAGAACTGAACATTCTTCAGGTCAACTGTATGGTTCATATCACGGGATATGAAGCTGGTAATTTAGTGTAGAGTTTCCCAATGACCACTCCCAAGTCAGAGCCCCCCCCCTCCCCTTTGAGAGGGACCTTTAAGAGAGTTAAGTGAGTTAGTCTGAAACACACACAGAGATATCCGAGGTAACATCGTAACAGAGGAGATCAAAGAACCTTTCTGCTCTGCATCTTGAATTTGCTAAAACCAGGCAAGGCAAGTGTTAAATCTAAATTATGATTCGGCACTTATATTAATGGCAAGCTTGCAAAATATTTGGTTTTTATGATTAGTCATAATTAATATTAATATGTGTAAGTGGTCTTTGACAAATGGTAGTATTTACTATTCTTCAATTATAGCTGAGACCAAAAGATATACAAGTTAAGCTGAAATAGTATATACCAGTTGAAAGTTGAGTAGACTATATTTAGAGATAGTTGGTTAAAAGTATTTGGTAGTTATGTCAAGGTTATTAGAAGCGACTTACTATTACATTACGTATTTTCTGTGTATATTTAGTATACGTCTCTAACACTGATACATACAGTTGTGTCCAAAATTATTCAACCCCCACTGAAATTGAGTGTTTTGGCCAGTTTGACATTGCTTTTGATCATTCAGTCATCTTGCTTACATTTACATTAAAGAGGCACTTGTAGGTCAGACAAATATAACATAACAGTTATAATGAAATAACCACAAATGTCTTTTCTGTGCTCACAGCATTATCAGTTTTATTCAACCCCCAAGTGACATTCAATCTTAGTACTTAGTACAGCATCCTTTTACAGTTATAACAGCTTTTAAAACGTGAAGCATAGCTTGACACAAGTGTCTTGCAGCGATCTACGGGTATCTTCGCCCATTCTTCATGGGCAAAGGCCTCCAGTTCAGTCACATTCTTAGGCTTGCGCACTGCAACTGCTTTCTTTAAGTCCCACCAGAGGTTCTCAATCGGATTTAAGTCTGGTGACTGCGATGGCCACTCCAAAATGTTCCAGCCTTTCCTCTGCAACCATGCTCTAGTGGACTTGGAGGTATGCTTGGGATCATTGTCCTGTTGAAAGGTCCAACGTCTCCCAAGCCTCAGGTGTGTGACGGACTGCATCACGTTTCCATCCAATATCTCCTGGTACTGAAGAGAATTCATGGTACCTTGCACACGCTGAAGCTTCCCTGTACCTGCAGAAGCAAAACAGCCCCAAAGCATGATTGACCCTCCACCATGCTTCACAGTAGGCAAGGTGTTCTTTTCATCATAGGCCTTGTTCTTCCTCCTCCAAACATAGTGTTGATCCATGGGCCCAAACAGTTCTAATTTTGTTTCATCAGTCCACAGAACACTATCCCACAACTTTTGTGGTTTGTCCACATGGCTTTTGGCATACTGCAGTCGACTCTTCTTATTCTTTGGAGACAGCAAGGGGGTACGCCTGGGAGTTCTGGCACGGAGGCCTTCATTACGCAGTGTGCGTCTTATTGTCTGGGCTGAAACTTCTGTACCCACATCTGACAAATCTTTTCTCAGTTCCTCAGCAGTCACACGGGGACTTCTCTCCACTCTACGCTTCAGGTAGCGCACAGCAGTCGAAGTCAGCATCTTCTTTCTGCCACGACCAGGTAGCGTTTCAACAGTGCCCTTTGCCTTGAATTTGCGAATGATGCTTCCTAAGGTGTCTCTTGGTATGTTTAACATCTTTGCAATCTTCTTATAGCCATTGCCCTTCCTGTGAAGAGAAATCACCTCTTCTCTTGTCTTCCTGGACCATTCTCTTGCCTTCACCATGTTTGTAACCACACCAGTAAATGTCTAGAAGGAGCTGAGTATCACAGTCATTTTAAAGCTGCCTAATTGGTGCTTATTATGCTTGATTGCTGCTCGGTGACATCCACAGGTGTTTTCAATACCTGATGGAAAGCACCTGTATGAACCTCTGTTCTTCAGAGTGGTAGTCTTTAAGGGGTTGAATAATTGTGGCAATGAAGAAACCACATAAGAACCATTTACTACTGTATTACATAAACAATTGATGTCATTTTAGTTGCATTTGGGTAGTTACAACGTCCTTGTAGGATTTGATTCTGAATACAATTCCAAATGTACACTATAGTCCCTAAACCCCTTTACAGCATTGGGGTTGAATAATTTTGGACACAACTGTATATAGTTTAGTGATTATACATTGATATGTTCTTAAGCTATACTATCTTTTAAATATATAGCTAAGGGTTACATCATTGGTACATCAGCATACATATGTTCCTGTCCATCAAACATCATATGTATAGCATCTTTCCCTTTTATGAAATAGCTTTGCTAAGCAGTAATACTTTCCATAGAAGGTATTATGATCACTAACTATGACGTACATTTGCCTCATAAAAGACCATCGGAACGGACAAGGGACACTCACTCACGCTCACACACACTCTCTCTGATACACACAAGCAACATGACTCTTGCAAACACACGTCTG